ACATGGTAAGGGACCTCAGAGTTCTCTAACCAGGTCAAAGCTCCTTGCAATTTAGGCTTTAAAAGGCCATCTCCTCCCTTCCTGCTGAACCAGCACTGAATGTGTGCCCTGGCAGAATGTCAAGGTGTTGGGCAGTTTGGGAGGTACCCATAGAAGTCACTTGTAAAGTTCCTCAGTTTCCCCAAACAGGATGTAGATGTTCAGGATTCTGTTGCCCTTTTGACATTATCTGCCTATTTCCACACTACTTGGTGATTTTGTTGCATGTCTATCAATTAGACAGATGGTTTAGTCCATCTCTGAAATGGTGTTAATTTGATTGCAGAAAATGCAATATATAGACAGCAGACCCCCTACCCAAATGATGCAACTTTTATCTTCAAATCAGCACTGATGGAGCACCAAGTACCCAGAACTAAAGCTGTCTTTGGTTAGATAACACGTTGGAAAGTGAGAAATCTACTTCTTGGTAATTCATTAAGTGTTCATGTTGTGGCTCCTCTGTGCCAAGTTTTCCCATGTTTGCACAGTTATATACTTATACTAACGTCAATCAGACTCTAATGCTACCATTGTATTCCTTCTATTTTGGCTTTAATTTTAGGACCCTCCTCTACCTCAAATGTATTAAGAGTAATTTCACTTCTTGCCATAAGAAAGATATACTTAAGGTATCAACTGCGACTTGCTGCAGCTACCCAGCCCCTAATTCTCAGGCCAAAATACCATGGATGTGAGTACTTCTAACAATTAGAAGCAACTGGTAACTCAAAGCTCAGGCATTTGGTGAGCGAGCCAATGCAGATTGGAAATCCAAATGTAACTTAGTGTTGGAAAGTTGTCTGGGACACTGAGAGGTTAAGTAATTTGTCCAGGGTCATGCATGCAGTATCTGTCAGAGGCAGGAATTTGAATGTCTTGAATGTAGGTCTTTCTGATTCTGAGGCCAAAATCTTTTATTTGCTACATAATTCTTTTAAAAAAAGTGGGTAGAAGAATTATGTTAATTAAAAATCCTAATTAAAATTCATCAGTAGCATCATTTACAAGTGTTTTGAAAGCTCCTTAGCCCAAGTTGTCTTGAGCTGCCTAGCCTGAATGACTTGTTTTAGGACAGTTATATTCTCTAATAGAACTAGCCCTCAGCAAAATTGTGAAATGAGATAATAATTCTCTCTGACAACTGTTCTGTCTGAGTTTCTTCTCTCTTTTCAGTACTCTTCCCTATGATTCTAACACCCACTCTTCTTGAGATACTTCATCCTCTTTCTCTAAGGAGAAAGTAGACATGATAGATTATTATGTAATTATTATTATATTATATTTTCATATAGATTATTATATACTAAAATGTGAGTGACTCAATGCATAACCCTTCAAGGGTCATTGTAAAAGAGGACTATAGGGCTCCATAGAAATTAGTTTTTATGAGTGGAATTTAAGGTTGTGTGGCACCTGAGTAGGGTAGTTCTCTCTTTCTCCCTCTCTTTAATGAAGGGGTAGAAGAAGCCAATCCAACAGCATAAAAATTCTGAGAGACTAGTTCTTGCAAGAATCCTTTGGATTGTTATTTATCACAGTCTTTCCTAATGTGTAACACCCACATACACTTCTATATGCTAGTTCAGTATGGCTGTCAGCTAAAGGATATATTTAGTAAAGTATAGTGATTGAGGAAACAAATATGAAGCCTTCCCATTTTAGCCTTTTTCCTACTTCCCTCTTCCACTCCCTACTCCCAAACTGTTTTCACTGAAATTTTCAAAAGCCCTGAAAACATTCCTAGGAAATAAATCTTCTCCTTTCACCAGCCTTCCATCCCGACTCTCCAGTGCTTGTGGCTCTCCCCACCAGGAGAAGTAGGTCCTCAAATGTTGATGCTGGATTAGAGCTAGGCAACCTCTCTCCCATCCATCAATCCTAACTGCATTCAAACATTTTCAATATGTTGGCTCCTTGGTAACTTTCACTGTATGGAAAACAAAATGGAGGGAAATGATTATTGGCACAAGAAGGGGAAGCCGTAAATCTTCAAATCAGATATAGGACAGATTGGAACAATATGGGTTTTCCAAGGTTTCTATGATAATGTACCTAATAACTCTCCTTGGGCAAAAAGGCAATCTGTTTTCAATCAATCTCTCTTTTCTGAGCAAAAATACCAATTATATTGAAGGGAGGTTTTTTTCCCTACTTTTTTTTTTATAAAGACTGCTGTCCACCCTTGAAATCATTCTGAGACTGAAAGATATATATATATATTTTCAATTGTCTTCAGTGTTATTGGACAACTAACACCAAATGAGAAGAGTCAATTCTTTTTCCTTTGTTTCATTTTTTTTTGTTGGCTGTATTTGTCCCCTCCTTAAGAGAAGTGAAAGCTAATTAAAGGCTTAAAGGATAATATTGATTGCATTGGAATATATTTTATATATCCACAGCACAGTTCCAATTAACTGAACCCTGCCTCCTTGTAAGTCTGAGTGGATCAGGTTTGTTGAGCTTTCTGATTCAAAGCATTGATGAGTTGAATCAGTTTAGGATAGCGTGATATAGAGTGGCACAACTCCGCTCAGCTTGGTTATTGGATGAAGGCCTTTGAGCAAACAAGTAGGTAGTGGCCTAGCAAGAAGTAGACTCCCGAACCTTAGTTTTGACTCATTTATAAAAAAGAGAAGAGTCTTCCATCTCCCTACTCTATCAGGAATCAATACAGACCAATTTGGCCTGACTAGGCTCTCTGAAAGAAGGCCCTGATGTTATAGAAAGTAGCATGAGTGCCATCAGGACAGGTTAGATTTCAGTGGCTTTGTCATTAACAACCAAACTAGTGAAATCCAAAGGTATGCTTTACATTAGCCATCATTGTCCTAACACCTCATTCATTTAAGCTCCTTTTCTTGCTCACACCTGTGTTCTATTCATGCATATTTTTCCATATCCTATAATACATATTTTATCACACATTTAGGCATACATATGCATTATTCACATATGTCTATATGTCTAAATTTATCTATATCTAGATATTATGGGCACACAGATGAAACCAAATGGCGGTTAGCAATGATCAGAGTTAAAAGATGTATATAGTCCTGGGTGTTGATGTAATGGCCCCATTCGACCTCCAAGGACCAGGATTAAGAACAAAGATTAAAACATCTCCTTGGATGCAGTACATTAACATTGCTGCCTCCTTTTTATAGCTCAGTTTGCCTGATCGCTAACTATACCACCATAACAATAACAGTCCATAATGGCGATATTATTAACTGCATCGTGCGTATTATTGATTTACTCTTCGTTCTGCATCATTATCCTTTCACCGATGAGTTTACTGCATCATTCTCACATACTCAGTCAAGCACCAAATTACAATGATAGGCCAACCTCCTGTAATGGCCTCTAATGGAACATTGCATAAGTAATCATTGCTGCCTCCCATTATGCACTGCTTCCAGCCAATGAGGGCTTGGCCTTCTTGGAACATGCACAGAGCAATTATGAAGTAGAGGAGACCTGGTGGTTCTAAATTTTGCCCAGGAAATTACCTTGTTTCATATTTGCCACCTGCTGGGGCCTCAAACCCCAGCCAGCAAAGCTGCAGGCATGGTGTTGGTGCCTTTTTTTTTGTAACCACTGGTGGGGTCCAAGGCTGAGGTCAACATTGGAGACATGCTGTTATTATGACTCTCCTCCCCCAAAAGATTCCTGGCATCTCTCCAGGCTTCAGGGTTCTTGGCCTTGCTCTTTACCTGTGCATTTTGGGAACTAAAGCAAATGTAGTCAAAGGCAGGACAGAGATAACAAGCTTAACACTTTATCCTTCATTCCTAGAGGAGTAAATCCCTAGGTGAACCCAGAGCAGGGGCAGAGTCTGCTGACCCCAGTATTTGGCCCTGAAAAATGTGGCCACTCTGCAGTGAGGAGTGGCCAGCCATATTCTATTAAGAGTTCATGGAAAGGGCATTGCTCATAGAGACAGAAGACCAGGGATCAAATCCTGACTCTGCCACTTACTAGATGTGTGATCTTGGGTAGGGCAGTTAATCCTTCTGAACCTTGAGCTTCTCATCTGTAAAATGGACATAACAGCTAAGGTTTACCTGTTGTACAGGTGTTGTTAAATGCTTTCCTATATGAATGGCAGCCATGACTGCATACCTACTTCCCCACTCCTCCTCTGCTGTTCGGAAGAGGCACCCCATCTAGACCAAGGTGATATCTCCTTAGCATCCTGTCCTCCACTTAACTGCCCGTAATTCCTTTGGCATGCATGGAAATCCCATGGAGCATAACCAACCCAGCCATTGATGCAGCAGCCCCGATAGCCCCATCTTTGATTCCATAGGCATTCCATTCTCATTTAGCTCTGAGTAATGCCCACTTACTGTAAAGTGTTACATGCTCCCATTGTTGGAGGAGTTATGGCAGAAAAATGCAGAATTTCCTTTTAACTGCTTATGGCCAGTAGAGCCTATAATGTGTCAAGCCACGCATTAGCTGCCCTGATGAAACAGTCTGCTTTCATACACACCAAATCATCGTTTCAGCAAGATTTGTTATCTCATTACCTGATAAGCTGTATGTCATAAACCAAACCTCCTACAGTGAATCTCCTGAGAGGAGGCTTTGTGGGCAGAAAGGGAGAGATGTGAATCTGCAAAGGGGCTTGATAATGTAGCGTTTAAACTCAACCATAATGCCACTTATTGTTAAATGCATAAAACTACTTGGCCAAATGGTTTGGCTTTTAATAGGATTTTGTGCAGCATCAGGTGAGAACCCATATGCCTTTTTAGTCCCTAAGTCTCTAAGCACCTGCTAACGCCTCAGCTTTGCCTCCCAGGCCTCGGGGGATGGGCAGCCGGATTTTTAGGAACGCGGCTTGAGGAGACAAATGCTTCCTTCGCAGCTGCCGCCTCTTTCTCCGTCTTGCCCATGGGGGGCAGGGTTGTCTCTGGTGCCAGGGTTCACTAATCCAGCCTCTCTTGTCACAGGCATATCGTTGTCTGTGGGCACATCACTCTGGAGAGCGTGTCCAACTTCCTGAAGGACTTTCTGCACAAAGACCGGGATGACGTCAACGTGGAGATTGTCTTTCTTCACAAGTAAGGGGCACTCTGTCCAGGCTGCAGTCCGTCATTCAGTCAGTCAACAAGCATTTATTAAGCATTTGGTATGTGCCGCGCACTCACTACGTGCAGGGAGCACAAAGAACAGAAGTAAACATGGTCCCTGCCACCAGGGAGACAACGTGCAAATAACTATGGATATGCATACATACACGTGTACATATAAAGCACATATAAACATGTAAAGTACATGTGATGTGTGATTTCACACAGCGTAAATGAAATGTAATCTCAGAGGGAAGTTTAGGGTGGTAGAAAAGACCAGTTCCCAGGTGCACTTAGTGAGAGACCCAGTGCAAATAGCTGAATACCAACTATGTAGATACTTGGGATGATACAAAGTTGCATAACGTACTGCCCTGGCCTCAGAGTTCTTACCGTCTAGTTAGGGAGAGAAGTAATGAACATAAGGAAAGTGAGATGGGATTACTTCAGCATTTCAAAATGAGTTATTTCATTACGATAATAACAACAATGATGATTATGACCATGATGACGATAGTTAAGCCCTTATATAGTGCTTTACGCTTTGATCCTTGCACTATATCTCTGTGAGGTAGGTGCCATTCAGGAAAGAAGGAAACACACGTTTGTTAAGAACTTACTATGTTTCAAACATTCCAAACTTGTAAACGGCTAAGCCTTTACAAGTGTTACTTTATTTATTCAGTAGTATTCTGGACCCAGACCGACTGAAATCAACACGTGCTAGAAATCAGGGCTTGGTTTATTATTTTGTTGATTGTCTAGACTTAAGTGGTGGAGAAAATGTTAATAATGCAAATGACTAACTAAAAGTAGTAAGGAGAGCCGGTTCTTAAAAATGTACCAGCACACCAATGGTGTGATTATCTTCATTTTATTAATGAAGAAAAACTGAGATGGAGACATTGTTACTTCCTCAGTGTCATAGAACTAGTCGGTGTCTAAGTCTGTCTAAGTCAGGATTTGAACTGAGTCTTTCTGCCTCTAAGGCCAGCACTCTACCTTCTGTGTCACCTGGCTAGATATGGATATTCTTTCCCATGATGTCAAATACAACCTCTCCAGACTTTTTCAGAAAGTTTTATGAGTTAATGCCTCCAGAATTCTTCACCTGGTGATTGAGTCTGTAGCAACTGGCCTCCCCAGATATGGCTAGTCTGGCAAACTACATATACGATGCCAGACTAAATTAAAAGCATTTTGTGCTTGAAATGACAAGCTGGACTAGACCTGCCAGTGCTTGTGCTCTGGGGGCATAATTTTTGAGAATTCAAATTCAGTTTCTTCTCATAATAAAGCATCCTTTAAGTGAAGAAACTAGTACTGATTCATGAGTCAAGTAACTCTTAAGAGAAGATTTCTGCCTGTAAGAGTCCCTGATCAGGTCTACGTGAGGGAAAGAATACCACTGTTAAATATTCCTCAAAACCTTGCCCTGGTAATCCAGGTCAGTTTGACCACAATCTCTTAATAATATCTGAGTGTGTGGGGCAGCTAGGTGCCACACTGGATAGAGCACCAGCCCTGAATTCAGGAGGACCTGAGTTCAAATCCAGCCTCAGACACATAACACTTACTAGCTGTGTGACCCTGGGCAAGTCACTTAACCCCACTGCCTAACCCCCCAAAAAATCCGAGGGTGTTACCCCCAAGTATTAATTCATTCTCATGGGGAAGATGTCAGAGGCCAGGAATGACTTACCGATTTAGCATGGCCTAAGGGCCAGAAGGAGTGTGGTCTAAGAGTGAATCATTCATTCATTCAGTAAGCATTTATTGATGCCTTCTATGGAAAAAGCATTGTGATAGGAGTCAAGGATAAAAAGACCAAAAACAAAATTGTGTGTGCCCACAAGGAGCTTGAATTCTGTTAGGGAGTTATACAGTAGACATGAATAAATGTATGCAAAATTTGTACAAAGTAATTTTGGTAGAGAAAATACTAACAATTGGGTAGATGAAGAAAGGTTTTATGTATATAGGAGGTGGCACATAACTGTACCTTGGAAAGAACAAGGAATTCCAGGAGGCATCCAATCAGAACACAAAGAGATATTCCCCAAAGAACACTCTCCTCCTCCCTCCTTTCTCACAGTGCAGATCCCTAGGTCTGTCCTAGACAAGTCCCAATTAAAGATGAATGTTGGCAAGAACTATATCCCAAGATGTGCAGAACCAGTTGTTCTAAGACCTTCTATAATGGAGCTGGAGTTCGTGCTATTAGCCTTCCTCACCTGCCTGTCATTGGATTTTCCTAGTCTGGAGGTATCAAGCACACAGCCCATGGGCCACATGTAGGCCACAGTACTCCTGAGAATGGCCCAAACCAGATGAAAATGTAGCTCCTATCTGATTTTAATGTGCTAATGTATTGATAAAAAAAGAAATATATAAACGTGTGGTTTTCTAAGTCAATATGTGGCCTCAGGGATCCCTATGTATGGTTCAGTGGTCCCTTTTTTAATTTTAGTTTGACATCACTATCTTAGACCACCCTCTATCCCTCTTCCCAGCCCCTGGCTCTAAATTATTGAGCCTTTGGTCCAGTTGGGCCTTGAGGTACTGAAAAGATGTTTATTGTACCTACCTGTTTCCTCAATTCAAGAAAACCTCTTCCTGAGAGTCATAGAATCATCGATTTAGAAATGAAAGTAAATTAAAGATTGGAGTCCAGCCTCCTCACCTGACAGATCAGGACACCGAGTCCCAGAGGGGCAAAAGGATTTGTCTAAGGTCATGTAGGTAGGAAGTAGTTGACCACACTTTTTTAAATGTTCTTTTAAACTTTAATCTTGTTTGCAGAGCTCCCTTGCCAAAGAGGAATTAGAAAGAAATGACCAAAGGCCAGGGTAGAAAGAGTGGAAAAGTGCTTGTAAATCTGGTCTAAGGGCCATGGAGCTAAGCTAGAGTTAGGAGATTCCAACTGGCTTTTGCTTTCCCATCTGTAAAATGGGAATACCAAAAAATGGCATGTCTACTTCCATCTACTCTTTATATATCTTACATGTACCTAGTTATTACATGTCTCTCCATTAGATGTTAACAACGACAACAGCAATAACAATAACGATGATGATGATGGTAACATAATTATGATGATGATAAAAATTTCTCATTAGAATTTGAACTCCATGACAACAGGGACCACTTTGCCTTTGTTTGATTCCCCAGCACACAACACAGTACCTGGTACATAATACTTGAATCTTATTGACTGACTGAAAGACAGAAGTTATGAGAATGAAAGATAGGAAGTTATGAGAACAGAAGGATACACTCTATGTTAGGAGTCAAGCAGCATTTATTTATTCATTCTAGGTATAGCATTTGCTACTCTGTTCAGTTACCTCTTGAAATCACCAAGCAAATAGCACCCCGATAAAGAAAAGCCTCTTTCTCTGGGATCCTTGCTATGTGGACCAGTCCTGAGCTCACGTGTTTCTCTAATGACCCAGAAGTTTGGAGCATCACCTGTTCCTTGGATTAGATGTCAGGGTTTCAGGTCACCTGAGCCTCTCACCGATGATGCGGCATGTGGCAGTTTTGAAAGGGGGCAGACCTTACTTTCTAAGCCTGTCTCCATGGGCACTGCAGGCAGTGGGGAAGTCATGAAAGTGAGAGAACCAGAGGTGGGTATCTTACTGAAGTGCTTCTGTTCTTTCCTTCCACAGTATTTCCCCAAACTTGGAGCTTGAAGCTCTCTTCAAACGTCACTTTACTCAGGTGGAATTTTATCAGGGTTCAGTCCTCAATCCACATGACCTGGCAAGAGTCAAGGTAAGGCACGATTGGCTGCTTCAGCTGTAAGGTCAATTCAATGGGTACATTTAGATGCCTAGTGTAGTGCCGAGGGGACAAGACCAAACAGAACTCCCCTGTCCTCCAAGCTTATAGTCAATGGATTTTTTTTGTCAGTATGCAGGAAAAGCAGCAATTGGAGGACATCCAGGATTTTGGAGGTGATTCTAACACCTCCTGTGAGACAAATGGGAGCCCAGAGCTTTAATAATCAGCCCGTGTGTGTGTATGTTGGAATCTGTTACTGATAGGGAATAGGAAGAGAAAAATCTTTGTTTTTTGCTGACAAATGTCATGTATTTGGAGAATATCCTAATCAATTCTTCTCCCATTTTTTATTACTTCCCTCAGAGTACATATAACTGGCAGTACTAAATAAAGGAAAGCCAATAAATATTTTTAAGGGTCTGATTCCAGATTAATAGAAAACCTGGGTTTGAATGTGGCCTCTGATAATTGTTATCTGTATAACTTTAGGCAAGTCACTTCATTTCTCTGGGCCAGAATTCCTCATCTGTCAATGAGGGTATTTGCCAGCCTCTCATCTCTCTTCCAATTACAGATCTGTGATCCTTTGGGATCAAAGCAATTCCCATTGGAACAGGTTCTGCTTGACTTAACGGTGTTTCAAGTTTGATTACTCTCTTCTGAAGAGACAATTAAGGATTAAAAAAAATTAAAAGTTGGAGAAGGGGGAAGATTTTTAGTAAGCAAATATCATTATTTATTACTTATTTTTGCCAAGAGCCTGGTGGACACTGCCATACCTCACCTCAAGGTGTCTGATAGCAAGTTTCAGGAAGAAACATACCTCCACTGCCTATGGCTATATCACTTGATTTTCAAACTGAACATCAGAGAGGAAAATGATGCAGCAAGGCATCACCTCTGTGTTGTTCCATTCCCTGTCCCTTTAATTGAATCTGAACAAGTTAGAAGGATCTGGTCTTAATGTTATATTGTCTTTATACAGCAGCAATAGGGTTGTCCTTCAGGTTTATATGTTCAGTGCCTTACATGTGCTACGTGAGTATTATTTTAGTTTTGTTCTTTTACTTGGGCTGTGTGTGTGCACGAGCGGTAAGCAAAGATTCACCTTATCTCTCCTCCCTTCCCACCCTCTTTAAATCTACGAGATTCCCATGACATTAGTGTGATAGTTTGACCTGAGGGGAGCATGGCAGAGAGACTTAGGAAAGTCGCAGTGTCTTGACAAGCCACTTGGTACTTGCTGTACGCATGTGGGATTGGCTGAAATATAAACCTTTGTTATGGGGAGCAGAGGCACAACTAGGAATTTCATATCTGGGGCAAGTATCACAAAATATAACTGGGATAACTTGGGCCATTGTGGGGCAGAGGCAGACACGTCAGGGACCCCAATTCCCTATCATCAGACCGCTGTATTGGGGTAAGGGGCGCAGAGAAGTAGGGAAGAATTTATCCAACTTGCCACCTAGTAAATAGCTATGTTAATTAATTTGCTAATTAATTAATTAACTATTTAGAGGCTGAAGGACTACCTGTGCCATCAATGTTCTCTAAATTTAGTGCACGTGAAGTTCTATGCTCTGGAACAAGCCATTTGTTGCCTCAAGTGACAGTTCTGATCGTTAACATTTAGTCTAAAAGTGACTCAGGTAAATTCGTGGATATTAGCTCCAAGCTAGAGGTGATTTGAGAGTACGTCTTCCATTTTTTAAGAATAAGGCTGAGGAGGAAATCGTGTTTTTACACCCAAATCTGTTGGGTGCAACTGTAAGCAATCTAATACTGAGTGGAATAAACCATAGATCTGACACAACCTTGTTTGTGCTGTTGTTTTTGTTATTTATTAAGACTAGCTAATCTTAACATTATCCAAAGGGTTCAAATTACCCAAAAGAAATTTATCGTTAAAGTAATATTATTAAATAACAGTTATTAACACAATTACCTTAATTGGTCAGTAAGCGAATTTTCTTTGAATAACATTGAGGAAATCTTAGCTAGCATTTGGAATTTAGCAGTAATACCAAACTCCGCCCCTCCACAACAGGTGCGTGTGTGTATACCCCCCTACAACTCTTACTAGTTATATTTGAGCACAAAACATAGTCCCTCTTGAAGGAGAGAGCTAACTTTCAATGAATATTTGCTCCTATTCACACTTGGTGCGGGGATGTCTAAAGGATAGGTGTTGCCTGGATTTCTGACTTCTTCCCTCTCTTCTTCCAATACTTGATAGATGGAGAAGGGGTAGTTTAACCTCTTTGCTTTCCCTTCCCATGGAGGAAAAAAAAAAGGACAGTAATACAGTTGGTAAAGGGAAAGGAAGGGAGGAGGATGTAAGACTTAATTAATTGCTTGTTAAGTAAATTGGAGGAGGGCGGATGTAAATCACTATGCAAAGCGAAAAGTATAATTATCAAGGTGCCTGTAGTGCAATCCAGCAACAACAAAATGAAATGTTTACATCCTAGCAAGAAATTGCAGCCTACACTCTCGATGAAAACTATAATCTCCAAAGCGCTTGTTCTCTGTGAAGCACCAGGTTCTCCAAGAGCTGCCAACAGAGAGAAATTGCAAGCAAGCCGAGCTATTTATATGTTTGTGTTTTGTTATTTTCCTTTGGTGTCTCAGATAGAGTCAGCAGATGCGTGCCTAATCCTTGCCAATAAATACTGCGCTGACCCGGATGCTGAAGATGCCTCCAACATCATGAGGTAACTATGGAGAAGTTGGGAAAGGGTGTGGCCTCCTTGGTGTGCTACCCTCTCTCTCTCTGATTTTTAGGTCTGTAGGAAGTACCAGCTCTGCTGAGTATTCCTTCTTTCCCTTCTGAAGCCTTCTTCTGGACTTTCTATCTGATTGAGATAATATTGGTGGCATGGAAAGCCATCATTAGAGTGGCATGGTTTAGTGGACTCTGGAGCTACCAAGGTCAAAGAAAATGTGAAGACTAGAAATGTCAGTTCAGGCTCCAAAAGGGCAAGGAAGGTGTACAGAGGGAGCCCAGGCCATGGGAAAGTAGCATGGTACATGTTGGGTTCAAATCCCAACTGTTCCAATTACAACCTGTGTGGCTATGGACAAGTTCCTTATTTTCTCTGTGCCTCAGTTTCTTCATCTGTAAAATTTGGGGGTCGTGCTGGATGACCTTTAAGGTTCCTTCTAGTCCTGTGTCTGTGATCTATATAATTCCTTTGAATATGAATGATGTGGATAAATTGGTGGTTTTCCATTGAACTGGAAGGTAGCTAAGCATTCACACACACACACACACACACACACACACACACACACACAACATGCACACATGATGCTATAGTGGCACAAGGATATTTAAATCATCTAATATCTATACTGATTCTAGTTTGACATTTGGGTGTCTCTTATGGAAATATTGGAGGTATCCATGATAGGAAGACTTGGTAGATATATCCTAAGGTTGTCTGAGGCAACTGATATAGAAATTAATGGACTTACTAGGGCTTTATAACCAGTAAGTGTCAAAGGCCAGATTTGAGTACAGGTTTTCCTGACTCCCAACCTAGCCTTAGAGACAACTAGGCAGTTCAGCGAATAGGTGTTAGCCCGAGAGCCAGGGAGACCCAATTTCAAATCCAGCCTCAGACACTTACCAGCTCTGTGACCCTAGGCAAATTATTTAAGTTCTACGTGCCTCAGTTTCTTTATCTGTAAAATGGGAAAAATAATAGCACTTACTTCCCAGAGTTGTTGTGAAGATAAAATGAGATAATATTTGTAAAGCACTGTACAAACCTCAAAGCACTTTATAAATGCTAATTATCACCACCATCATCACCATTGTTATTATAATTATAATCTAATAGAGAGAGAACTGGATTGGGAATCATAGCCTTAAGGCTCAGTCCCTTGCTATGGCACTTAACTAGTTAAAGTGACCTTGGAGAAGTCACTCAGTCTCTGTCTCAGTTTTTTTTTTAAATCTGTTTAATGGGATGGAATGGACTAGATCTCCCTGAAGGTTGATTCCATTTCTAAAACTATGTCCTTATGAAAGCAGGTTAGACTTTGAGCTGTCCTTAGGACTGTCTTTCAGATAGCCCTTTTGTAGCTTCTAGTCATAGTACAGAAATTCCTTTCCAAAAACTCAGGACATGTGTCCCTCTCTCGTTCCCTACTTTAAAGGGCGACATGGTCTTATGAGCAAGTATCAGGAAACAATGAAGAACAATTTGGAAGAAGGAGGAGCTAAGTGAAAGTATTTCATTGCTGCTCAATTCCAATGGATGTCTTCCATAATTTTGAACATCCATTCTATTGACTACAGAGTGTTACTGAACCCTTCAATATGGTTTGAGTGTGGGTGTCCTCTCTTTAGGAATTTGGTTAAGTTTTGGGGCCTTGAAGGGCCTAATACTTTAGAATTCCTCTCATCTCTTCTGCCCTTTCTTTAATCAGTTGTCCCAAGAGACACCAGCTTTCCTGTCTAGAAGTTGGTGGCAGGTCATGATAAAGTAAGGTTGGTCTGACATATTTAGGAGAGAGCAGACCATCCCATTAGTATCTGGCCTTGGCGTCTGGCAGGGCACATCTGTCAGGATCTTTTCATTCCCCTCACTTTTCTTTAGCAAATATGCCTGCCTGTTGTTGACATTTGTGAGCTTTTTTAATCTGGGCCTCAGTAGGCAGCAGAAGGTACAGAAATAGCTTCTTGTTTCATATCATATATATGTATGTGTATATATATATATACACACATACATATATATGTATATTCTCCTACTTCTTCCCATCCCTCCCTACTACTACCCACCAGTTCCTATGACCCTCAACAGGAACAACATTGTAGAGACCTTTGTGTGAAGAATCCATCCGTTCCATATTTAAAAGGTGGGCATATATATCCCTGCACTCACCGGCAACACCATCTCACTCATTTTACTTGAATATTTCCTTAGTCATTTTAAGGGATAAAATGCAGGCCTCCAAGGTAATAACTAGATTTCATTGTCTATAGCACATTCAATTGAGAATGTGTCTTAACAGCAGGACAAAGGCCAGAGAGAAATGATGGCATGGCACCTTCTTTTGTCTATTCCACCTGGAAGATCAGGTTCAGAAATATCACTTCTCTTAATTGCCGCATGTTATTTAAGCCACGAGCCTGAACAGTTCAAGAGTTTACACTCTATTAAAATACTGATATCCAAGGGTGAATGGCATGATGCCAAGGCATAAAAATCATTTAGCCTAAATGAAACCCACTTCTAGTTAAGATAAACAAGTGCCTTGATTTTTTCTCTGAGGCCAGGGGAGAAAAAAGAACATGGGAATGTTGGATTAAAAATTAGCTCTGCCTTTCCTTATTTTATTTTCTTTACTGCATCTAACAGACTAAGAAAACAGTCTGCCTCCCTTAAATAAAAATAGCAAAGATGCATTCGAAATTAGCTTGCTTAAAGAGCTGACCAATGTATATGACCTGCTCTCATGATGACTGGGCCCTCTTATTCCTTGAATTATAGATGGCGCATACACAATGCTTTTTCAAAAGCAAAATTATATCCTTCGAGAACAAAAGCCTAGTGTGAGTCTATACAGGAGGAAGTCTTACTATTTGTGCATGTCCCTAATGAACATCTATAACCTTTTAGGAGAAAACTGACACCTTGGCTAAGTCTTCCTTACTTTCCCCTTCCCCCTCACCGCAACCTTTTCCCTGTACAATATGGTTTATACATCTTCTTAAAAGAGGGGAAATGTGGTTGATTTAATAAGACACAGACCAGAGTATCTGAGTGTAATTTTTAGTGGGAATAAGATGGAGAATACTTAATAAATCTGCTTCCATAAAGGATTAGGCTTGAAGAAGAGTTGACTTGTAAAGTAGGGCTCTGATCTTGAATTTTATTTTTCCGGTTTCTCCATTTTGAGGGAAATATGCATTCCTGTCTGGACTCCTGACACAGGTATCCATAACAGTGACTTAGATAACTGGGCTGTGCTTTTAATTTTTACTAAGCACTTTTATGTCCTAACAAATTTGGCAGTTCACGTGGCTAAAGGCTTTTATCCCCATTGTCCAGATAAAGAAACCAGGGTACAGTTAGGTAGTCTCACCTAATTAGTGTCAAATGTAACTAATTAGTGTCAAAGCTAAGATAAGAACCTAAGGAAATGTTATACCTCCAAGTCCTCTTTTCCTGATAGTCCAATGTAAATCAGAACCACATATGGTATGGGACAGTGGTTTATTCTGAATAAGGATGGATGTTTCAGAAGGAGGAGATTCACAAGAATTGTCAACTAAGGCCTGCGCTCACTGAAATTCACTAGAAGTTCTTATTTAGATGAGCCACTGAGAGTCACAGAATCTCATTATTGAGAGCTCAGAGAACATCTAGGCCAACCCATATCATAACAAGGATTCCTCTAAAATAAGTGTAACAAGTGGACATCTTTTCCTCAAGACTTCTAGTGATGAGAAACCCATTACCTACCTCCAGAGTAGCCCATTCCATTTTGGAGCATGTCTTAAACTCTTGGGAACTGTTGTTGGCTTATATCAAGCCCAAATCTGGCTCAAGAAAAAATGTACCCAAAGCTCTCTTACTTCCATGAAGTGGCCATCCTCCTCCTCTACTCTGAGAGATAAAATAAAGACAATGGATAATGACAATAAATATTAATTAGTATGTTGTTTCCAATGATCTGATCATCTGGATTTTTTTGTTTTGTTTTGGGTTGTTGTTTTTTTTTAAGATGCCCAAGGCACTCATAAGGTACCACTGGAGTGATTACCAAAACCAATTTGGGGAAGAAAAAAACAACAACTCTAAAACAAAAAGAAAATGTCCCAAACACTTTGAGGCTAACACCTTATCAGAATAGGGAGGACTCTTCTTTAAATGTCAACCAATACTAAGGTTGTTAGCAACTTGTAAAGATTGAAAAGGGCTTTCAGAATCATCTGGTCTATCCATGCATAAACTGAGATGCATAGATGGGAACTGTTTTCATTAAAGTCACATATCTACTTAAAAAGAGGCCAAGCTAAGAGGAGAAAGAGGAAGGACTGTCCTGGGGGGAGGAATCTGACATTCTCTTGTCCTTAGAGGGAGGAGCTAAGAGAAATGGAAAGATGTCTGAAAGAGGCAAATTTAGGCTTGATCCACAGAAGAAAAACTAAAACCCAAAGCCATCCTAACATAGCTATAGTGTGATTTGCCCTTGAATGGGTGCTATCTTTTCTTTCTTTCCCTACCCTTGGAATGACTGGTTGTTGGCCTCCATTTGCTCCAGTTAAAAATAATCTAACTGGCATTAACATAGTAGGAAATCATGACTGTTTTAGATCCTCCTCCTTCAATTCAGTTCATGAATTCACCAATAATTTATTAATCACAATTTATTAATCATAGTAAGTATTAATCACCTACTGTGCAAAGCACTTTGCCAGATACAGGGACATAGAGATGAAACTGATTAAGAAGTAGTTCTCAACAAGATGACATTCAATTCCTCAGTCAGTCAATAAACATTTATTAAGCACCCGTAATGGGCCAAGTACTATGCTGAGCCTTGGGGATACAAAGAAAGGTAGAAGTCCCTGCTCTCAAGGGGCCTAGGGTCTAATGGGGGTTGGGGAGAGACAATATGCAAACCACTATGTACAAAAGAACTATATACAGGATAAATTGGAAATTATCAACAGAGGAAAGACACTAGAGTTAAAGGGGCTCAGGGAACTAATTTTAGCTGGCATTTGAGGGAAGCAGAGGAAATGAGGAAGGAGAGCATTCCAGGCATAGCAGATGTAGTATCTACACAATTAATAATGGCATAAAGTGATGAATGATGTGGGTAAAGTAGAGATGCAGAGAAAATGGTGATGTTTGAGAACATCTAAGAAGAGAGAGAACTTGATTAGCGAGGGAGATTGGAGAAAGCTATAAGGAGGAAGTAGCACCTAAATTGGTCTCAAAGGAAGATGAGAATTCTGAAAATCAGTGATGGAAGGGGACTGCAGCCTAGACTTATGACAATGTCTGGAGGTGGGACCATTGCATCTTTACTATAAACCTGGAAAGAACCTCTAGGTCAGGGGTTCTTAGCTTTTTGCAGGTCATGGACCCTGTTGGCAGTCTGATGAAACCTATGTACTTCTCAAAAGAATGTTTTTTAAAGATATGAAATGGAATAAAATACATAGGATTACAAAGAAAAGCAATCATTTTGAAATATAGTTATCAGAATATTTTTAAAACAATAACAACAATACCTGGGAATGCCTCCAGTTAAGAACTTCTATCTAGGTCATCTAGTCCAGTCACCTCATTTTAAAGATGAAGGAAACAATAGGGAGCCCCTAACGTTGTTAGAGCAAGAGAGGAGACCTCAACTTTGGCTTTTTCTTTTGTAGAGTGATTTCCATAAAGAACTACCATCCAAAGATCAGAATTATCACCCAGATGCTGCAGTATCACAACAAGGTAAGAAAGTGAGAGCCTGCCTCTCATGTGGGTATATAAACATGGAACCTATCAGCAGTATGCCAGTAAATGTTCAACTGGCTTGCTGATAAATATTTAACAACTGGCTCCCTGGTAGGGGATGGGAGATGAATACACAACACATTTTTATCTTTAATCTGCATTAATATTTTCTCTATTACTTTTTTAAAGTCTAGAAAACCATTAAAACAATAAACCATGCCTGATTTGTAGTAATTGCCAATTTCCGAGGTATGAATGACCATGCTGAAAATTCAACAGTCTGTTCTTGAGAGCTGGTTTAAGCTTACAAGCTCCAGGCCACCTATGGCTTCCACTTTCGTCCTTTCATTTTAAAAAAATGTATATAATATTTTAATTTCCCCCAATTATATGTTAAAACAATGTGGTTTTCTTTTTTTAAAGTTTTGAGTTCCCAATGGCTCCCACTTTTTACTTCAGCCCCATACTGTCAAAAAAAATATTATGGAAAAAAGAGGGGGCAGCTAAGTGGCTCAGTAGATAGAGCACCGGCCCTGGATTCAGGAGGACCTGAGTTCAAATCCGGCCTCAGACACATAACACTTACTAGCTGTGTGACCCTGGGCAAGTCACTTAACCCCATTGCCTAGCCAAAAAAAAAAAAAGAGGTATGATAGGGAAAATCTATTTGGAAAATTCCTTCTAGCCAAATATCCAGGTATTACTGGGTCATTGGAACAGATCTTTATTCATAGAAATAGCTAACATTTATAGAGCACTTTAAGGTATTCAAAGCTCTTGACACACATTATTTAATCTTTAATAACTCTATGAAATTATCCTCATTTTACAGATGAGGAAACAGAGAGTCAGAGAGGCTAATTAACTTGTCTATGGCAGTGAAGTGGTACTATGGATAGAGCACTGGGCCTGGAGTCAGGAAGACACAAGTTCAAATCTGGCCTCAGACACTTCTAAGCTGTGTGACCCTGGGCAAGTCACTTAACCTCTGTTTGTCTCAGTTTCCTAATCTGGAAAATAGGGATAATAATAGCACCTACCTCCCAAGTTTGTTGTGAGGCTCAAATGATATAATAATTGTAAAGCAGTTAGCATGGTACCTGGCACATAGTAAGAACTACATAAATGTAAGCTATTATTATTATTTCTATTATATTATGCCACATTTCTATTATTAACCTTCATGTTTATTCCTTTAGTGAGTGTCCACTGTATGGAGCTTTTGACACATCCCTAGATTATATTTTGTTAAATATCCCAAATTGCCCTCATTTATGTGCTTTGAACATTCAGTAGCAATGCAATGAGTACCCACTATGTGCTCAGTGATATATCTTATTGCTGTGGCCAATACAAAAAAGGTGGAAGAAGCCCTGTTTTCAAAGAACTTGCTGTTCATCGGGTTAGGCAAGGCAGGAATTCTCAAAGACCAGTTACACTGCAATGTTGTTGTTCAAAGCTATAGGACCCAAAGGGATAAGAATAAGTATGGTCTAAGTGGAATGACCAGTTTACTATGAATTTCTGACTCCACAAGGAGATGAGCTAGACCTAGAGGGAATGTAACATGAGCAGGATTCCTGCTTCAGTTATGGGTTGAAAAACATAATCCTTGAGGACCTATTTAACTCAGATATTTTGATTATGTGGACTTGGTTCACCCCAAACTAAGTTTAGAATGAGCATAGTTCATTTCAGGGAGGAAGTTCTCTCTCAGGAGATTTAAAAATAAATGTATGATTTCTTAAGATGTATGGTTTAGGAAAGTGCATATGTATATGAGTTTCAGGGGATATTGGTAGGATTGAATTTATCAGTTTTCTTTTTTCTCTTCTCTTGTGATTTGCTTATCTACAAATTAGAACCCAGTCTCTCTTCCCAAAAGCAATACTTTTCTACTTAGTAAGCTCCCAGGAAAACAGCTTTTGGGGAGGGAAAGTAGCTAGTGACTCCTTTACTTGAGGTACAGTAGCTTATCTTAGCAGTGAATCCTAAATACCAGAAGCTACGTTGTACCTGGGTCCAGGTGTCTTAGTTGAACACAATAACTCCCAGCTGGATCAGGAGTGAGAGTGATCCCATCATCCAGCCCTCATTCCCTACATAACAAACAGTATGATGACCCAGCAATGACTCCATTCTGCCAATTGCAACAGCCCCATGCCGTTATTCCTTAATTGCTGGCAAACGATGACCCATTTTGCCATGTGGGAGCCCACTGAAGGCTATTCTTTTGAGTGTATCCTGCTGTCGGTGATTGGCCCTCCACTCGGAGATCACCGTCATTGCCAACCATTAGCCAGCCCTCAGCAGGTGGCTCTTTTTCTGCAGTTCAACATTACATAGAAGGCAGGTTTGGTGTTGGCCACCCAAAGTCGTGTTCGTCTGTCTGTGTCTTGAAAACCAGGACAACCCTGAGCTGAGCACGTGGAGACAGTGTCAGTGACTAACCAGTCCCAACTTGCAGAAGCTCCTGAGTTGTAGCTCCATGGCTGGTGATGCTCTATGGGATTTTCCCTGGTGCTGGTTCTGGAATTTTCCCAGCTTTGACCTTGACATTGATGGATGATAGTATGGAGCTGAATGTCTCCTCCCCTCTCCTCTCCTCTCCTCTCCTCTCCTCTCCTCTCCTCTCCTCTCCTCTCCTCTCCTCCTCTCTCTCTCTCCTCTCCTCTCTCTCCTCTCCTCTCCTCTCTCTCCTCTCCTCTCCTCTCCTCTCCTCTCCTCTCTCCTCTCCTCTCCTCTCCTCTCCTCTCCTCTCCTCTCCTCTCCTCTCCTCTCCTCTCCTCTCCTCTCCTCTCCTCTCCTCTCCTCTCCTCTCCTCTCCTCTCCTCTCCTCTCCTCTCCTCTCCTCTCCTCTCCTCTCCTCTCCTCTCCTCACCTCTCTCTCTCTCTCTCTCTCTCTCTCTCTCTCTCTCTCTCTCTCTCAAGGCAGATTTACACTGAATGGGAATAATAATGCTATACATTTGGAAAGGGGTAAGGCTCCTTCAAATTAGAAACAAAGCTAAATTTTTTGATGTATTCAACTGAATTTGAATGAAATGATTCTTTTCAAAGCTAAAACAACTGTACCACCCCACCACAATTTGGAGCCTGTGCCTATGCATGGCTACTTTCATCTTCAACATCTCTTACAAATGTAAACTGTATAAATTGTTCAAAAATAATAGAGGGCATCTCTCCTCCATTCTTACTTGCCCAAAGCCTGATTTCTTTTTAGTCTTTTAGTCCCAATTTATTTGGGTCCTGGGGCTGTGCAAAAAATCAAAGATTGAGACTTTAGCCAGGCAAGTCAGAAACATAAAAGCACCATGTCCTGATGGCAGAACTTCTGAGATTTCTAAACAGAGAGGGGAGAATTGGCTTTGACAGTTGCCCAGACTCTTTTTTCCACCCAGTCGAGTGCCAAGGAAATGCCTCAGGACTGCCAATGCATTGTTACCAGAACCATCTTCAAGAGGAGAGGTGGGGAAGCCGAGTCTGGCTGTGATCTTGGTACCTCCCTTGGCACTGCCCTTCTTCATCCAGGCAGCCTGCTGAGCAGCACAGTTGACTGAAACCAGCCTAGAGCCAAGGTCAAGCTTATCGCTGCTGCGCCCAGCTTCCCAGCATGATACGGTGGATTCTTCCTCGTTCTGCAATCAGGGTACCTGAGCTCAAATCCAGCCTCTGAACCTGTGGGCTTTTGGATGACTCGACCTCCAAGGACCTTAGATTTTGTAGAATGGGCTTTTCCCAGCATACTGCCATCTCGCATGATCCAGGACAGGCAGCTGCACATTCCTGTGCTATCAGTAAGAAATCAAGCCCGACCTTGAAATATAATTATAATAATCCTTTGTATTTGTTGGTTGTTGTTAAGTCATTTCAGTCATGCCTGACTCTTTGTGATCCCATTTGGAGTTTTCTTGGTAAAGATATTGGAGTGGTTTGCCATTTCCTTCTCCAGTTCATTTTACAGAGGAGGAAACTAAGGCAAAAAGGATTAAGTGACTTGCCCAGAATCACACAACTAGTAAGTATCTGAGGCAGGATTTGAACTCAGGACTTCCTGACTCCAGGACTGGCACTATCCACTGTGCCACCTAGCCTCCCTTCTTTGTAGTTTTTTTTTCCAGTTATTTTGTCTCCTTTAATTCAGGAAATATTTAATTCAGTGAGCGTTGATTAAATACCTACTATGTTCAAAGCTATGTTACATAGTGGGACAGTGCTGGAATTCTGGTCAGGAAGACCTGTTTCTGGATTTCACCTTTGCTGTTCTTAGATATGTGACCATGAGCAAGTCACTCCCTCTGTCTCATCCTCCGGAAACTCTCTAAAACTACCGATGAGTTGTGTTCTGCATCTGAAATCACGGACTCTTTACCTAATAAGTATGTGCAAAGCACTAGCTATGTGAAAACAAAGAAACAAACAAACAAGAAACACATCCCTGCTCTCAAGATGCTGATGGCCAAGGGGTGGAGAATATATTCTATTTTTACAGAACTTTAGACATCTCATCGATTTGCTGCAGAAAAAAATAAGCCAGTTTCGGTGTGCAGAAACTGAGGGGAGTGTGTTTTTGAGCCAATGCTTTGGACAGGTGGTACCAGCCGCCTTGATCCGTCAAATGTCTGAACACATGGACCCATCAGCCTAGCAGTAGACCCTAAGAGTAAGCAGAGCAGAAGAGATTGATACTCCTCAGAAGTGATACAGTTTGTCACCCTGAAAAGCATCCGAGGCACCACATTTCTATCTCTGAAGGAAAAGAATGATGCCATTAGGCATTGTTTGCTCTCAGTGGAGGGAGCTTTCAGCTCCTCAAGGAAAGATACTTCATGTGAATTGGTCCTTGATGAAGGTGGGGGGTGGAATGGGGATGGGAAGGTGAGGATGGCCATTGGCAGTACTGGGATGTAGCTGAACTCTTCTATTCCTCTTAATGATAACTGTGACTTGAAACTTTTCCAAGTGTTGTAACATGCCCCTTTAATAAGATGTTACCCCCCTTAAGCAGGAAGGGTTGATGCTATTATTTCAATTTCTCCTGTGAGAAAATTGAGATCATAGATCTAGGGGCCTCAGAGTCTGTCTAGCACAACCCCTTCTCTTTATAGTTGAGCAAACTGAGGCCTAAAGAGTGTAAATGACTTACCCAAGACCATATAGATACTAAACATCAGAAGCAAGATTTGAACACAAGTTCTCTGACTTGACAGCCAGAGGTCTTTCTACTGTACTAAGATATTACTAAGATACTATAGGGCAGTTAGGTGGTGCCGTAGTGCACAGAGAGCCAGGCTTGGAATCAGAAAGACTCATATTCCTGAGTTCAAATCTGGCCTCAGACATTTACTAGCTGTGTGACCCTGGGCAAGTCACTTAAGCCTATTTGCCTCAGTTTCTTCATCTGTAAAAGGAAATGGCAAACCACTCCAGCATCTTTGCCAGGAAAACCCCAAATGAGGTCACGAAGAATTGGACACAGCAGAAACAATGACAACAAAAGATGTTACTATTTTAAAGATATATTTCATTCAAATATTTTTGCTTTAACTTCCCCTTTATTTCCAAATACATCCTTCCTTAGACCTCTGGAGAAAACTGAATGGGGATAGAAAGGAATATACTTTTTTCTTGGCAGTACGTGGCACATACACAAAAATTGACCATGTACTAGGGCATAAAACCCTCACAATCCAGTGCAGAAAGGCAGAAATATTAAATGCATCCTTTTCAGATCATGACACAATAAAAATTACATGTAATAAAGGGCCATGGAAAGATAGACTAAAAAATAATTGGAAACTAAATAATCTAATCCTAAAAAATGATTGGGTCAAACAGTGAAGCATAGAAACAATCAATAATTTCATTCAAGAGAATGACAATAATGAGACAACATACCAAAACTTATGGGATGCAGCGAAAGCAGTTCTTAGGGGAAGTTTTATATCTCTAAATGCTTACATAAATAAAAATAGAAAAAGAGGAGATTAATGAATTGGGCATACAACTAAAAAAACTAGAAAAAGAACAGCTTAAAAATCCAAATACATCCTTCCTCTCTCCCCTACCCAAAGATTGTATGCCTTGTAATGAGGAATAAAAAAAAAATATTCAAAACTAGCATATCAACTGAGATGAAAAGTATGCACAATGTTCCACAGCCCTAGTCCCCACCTCTCCAGTGAAGGTCAGGACCTCTTCTTTGGCCAAGCTAGAGCCATTAATTACTGTTAATAATAAGCCATATTCATGGAGCCCTCTAAGGTTTGTAGAGCCCTTTTCTTACCTTGTAAAGTACGTAGTGAGATATTATCTTTGGTGAATCTCAGCAGCATTAAGTGACTTTCCCAGAGTCACTTAGCAAGTAATTAAAGAATTGGAATCTGGGCTCAAACACAATTCTCTGATGCCAGTGTGAGTTTTCTTCCCATTCCCCCTGACATAATGGTGAATTGCCCAAGGTTACAGAAATGAGTGGTAAATCAGGCCTAGAATCTAGGCCTCCCACTCTCAGTTCAATGCTTTTCCCATCTCCTGTAATTGAGGTAAAGGCCATGAACACTGTGACTGGAGAGACGCTTCTGGCCTTGCCTTTGGGGCACAGATGTATTTTCTAAATTAGGGGATTTGTCTCCTGTGCTTCTATTTGGGCACTTTCCACCAGGCCAAGATTTCCTTCCAATGAAGATGCCAAAAAGAGGTAGAAACTCATAATGTGAATCCCCATGGCAGATCATCATCTTTTTTGTTTCATTAACATGATTTTTCTTCCCCATCTCACTCCCACCCCTACTTCACTCAGTGATTGGAGAAAGTGTGCTGGCCAACAGAAGGGGCAAAGGAAGCCCCAAGTAATAGAACTAACTTGAATTTCACATGTAATGACATGTAAAATATGTCTAAACAAAGAACTCAAACCAGATGGAAAAGTAAGGAGTGAGGAGTCAGAGACTTGGGTTATGAATGAGGACTGAAAGCTTTATATTCTGACAAGCGCATGGAACTTGGAGGGATCCTCTAAGTGGAACTCCCACCCCCGTTTGAAACTCAAGAAGCTGTGGTAGCCATACCTCACTCTTGTGCAGCAGTCACCACACAATTCACTTGCCTCTGTGTTCGGGGCATTGGTCGCTGAAGTGCCAGTGGCATCATTGCTTAAGTCCCTGGGAGCTGAAGTCAGGGACCGCTGAGGTTCTTCCAATGCTAAATCTTTGGTCTCATGTTCCACTCACATTCTTGGGTCATTTAAGTTCAAATTCATAGCTCGTCCCTCAATTTGTTTATTCTATTATAATGAATCAGAAAAGGTCAGTGCTAGAAGAGACTTTCAATAATGTAAGCTTTTTTGAGAGTAGGAAGCATTTTACATTTTTATCTCTAAATCTCTAGTGCCAAGCACAGTTTCTGGCACAGAATGGACACTTAATGAGTGCTCAGTGCCTGATTATTTGATTGATTAGTCTAATTGAATGTCCTGAGTCTTACATATGGGGATAATAACTCCCAGGGAGCTGAAATGATTTATCTATATTCACTCATTTAGGAAGTGGTCAAGTCAGGACTCCAAATTCAGATTTTTGCTTCAAAGCCTAGCTGCCTCCACTGAGGCATCTTTGAAAATAAAGCAAAGATTAATGTTCCCAAAGTAGATACCAGCAGGGCATTGAAGAGGGAGGAAAGATGGCTTACTAGAATTGAGCGTCTGGTAGGGGGAAGTAGGGGATGAACAATCTTAGGGTGCTAAGCATTGATCCTAGCCCAGACTTATGCTATGACTTTAAATATTAGTATTTTTGAATCTGGCTCCATCAGGCCTTTGGAAGGGCTGTCTTTGGGTCAATACTCGGACGAATAAGGCGTCAACCCCACTCTGAAAAGACCCATAGAGGTGCCTTTCTATATTCTTCTTTCTTTCCTTCAAGTAAGACTTCTAAGCACATTATCAGAAGTGAATAAAGCACAGTCTTTGGCCTTCCCAGTACCATAAAGAAGGAGAAGATAACCAAAGAATCACAGAGATTTATAAGGTCGTAGAAGTCATCCAATCCAACCTCCTCCTCACCAATGCCTCTTTTTGACCTCTCAATTGCTTTCATTGACTGGGCGTTCACGGCTTTATATGGAAGTCAGTTTGTTGTTAGCTTTAATTGGTAGGATATTCTTAGATTATCCAAAATCCCTCTTCCCATAACTTCCATGTGTTGGTTCACTGCATCAGGAACGGTGCGGAATGTGTAATACATCTTCCACATGACAGCTCGTATTTTAATATGACTATCATGTCTCTCCTTAGTCTTATTTTTGCCAGGCTAAACACCCCTAATTCCCAGGATCCTTCCTTACTCTGATATGGTGTCTAGACTCCTTAACATTTTGGGTTTTCTCTTCTATATAATTTTTAGTGTATTCATTTCTTTTTAAGGTGTGGAAGCTGGAACTAGGTATACTATTTCCAGGTGTATTGTCTGACTAGTACAGAGTGCAGTGGGATGCTTGCTTCTTTTGATTTGGATAGCATACTTATATTGAATTAGCCCAAGATTACATGAGCCTCTCCCCCCACCTCCCCTCACCCCCAGCCATGTCACACTCAGGTTTCCTCATTTTCATCCATATTGTTGACAAAAAAAAAATGTTGAACAGGCCTCAGCCAAGGACCATCAGTCCATCAACAGGTATTCAAATGCCTGATGTTTGCCTAACACAATGATCTGGCTGTGATGGTACAAGGTCTGAGACAAGGCTTACTTACGGGGAGCTTCAATTTTAGTTTAAGGGCTCACTTGGCAGAATGGTTTAATTTGTCTGACACAGGAGAAAATTCCCTCTTTGTACTCTTTGGCTAAAAGAAGGAAACAAGGCTCAGGGAATGGGCTTGGCCCTAAAACTAGGGAAAATGATGATATGAGATGCAGAAAAGTCCCAGGGAAATAAGGAGATCTGGTCAACAGCCGAATTGAGTGAAAATACAGTTGTCAGAGCCAAGCAATCACAAGAAGGTGGTGGCTATGACTCCTGTCACTTGGTCAATGCGACATTCTTGTAAGGATTTTTTTTTTGATGGAGGAAAATAATTTCTCTCTCTAAAGTAATCTCCTGTACCTGTATTTGTTCCCTCAGGCCCATCTGCTAAACATCCCAAGCTGGAATTGGAAAGAAGGAGATGACGCAATCTGCCTTGCTGAGCTGAAGCTAGGATTCATAGCCCAGAGCTGCCTGGCTCAAGGCCTCTCCACGATGCTCGCCAATCTCTTCTCCATGAGGTCATTCATAAAGGTAATGTCTTGTCCTATTAGTGAGCATTAGTCCACGATTCAATTTGTCGTGGGGTTGAGTAGAGAGCATAGCTTAAACTCAAAACAGATAGACACACATTATCCACTTTGGTTTGGGAGGAATTCTTGCTCAAAGATTTGGGCACAAGGCCAGCTACTTTCAAAATGATGTTTTTATTTTTATTTGGCACATCCACGGACATTAAATGATTGTTCAAAGCACAATCCTCTCGCTCTCTCTTTTTTTTAGATAAACCACATGTTTATCTATCAACAAAGCCCCTGCTGTTAAAACAAAAATATGATTTATATGCATTCCATATGGCACCAAAGTGCCTAAAGAAAAGAATTATCATTTTGGTCTTTTACATCAAGTGGCTGGTGGACCTCTCACTGTGCAAATAAATACAGACCATGTGTTTGTGCCGAGGCCCAAACCCCAACAACATAATTCATTTATTTATTTCTCCACAATCAAGGGGGCCAGCAGAGCTTACATGTCATGCTTGTTTGAGTGGAGAGTGAGGAGATGAGCAGCCTTCTTGGAAACACTGCCCTTTTAAAGTCTGAAATTCAATCTGTCCCGGCCACTGCTCATCTCCCCTACGGGTCTGGCCAAGAAGCCACTTCAACCCTCCTCTTCCTCAATCCTGATAGTCTTGTCCCTTTCTAACAGAAATGATGAAAGAAATGACCAGCTATGCCTACAGGAGGGAGAGTGTAAGTGAGAACTCATAGGACCCCTGACAATGGAGGAGGCCTTCCTTGGGACCGAGACCATTGAGAACATGGCGTCTTTGGCTTTGGGGAGCTCTGAGTCTAGATAGTCATGATGGTTAAACATATCCCCCCCAAAATAATTAATTTGGGTTCTCCTGGCTTAGAATTTGGGTTGATCCCAACTAAGTAGTAGTAGTAGTAGTAGTAGTAGTAGTAGTAGTAGTAGTAGTAGTAGTAGTAGTAGTAGTAGTAATAGTAGTAGTAGTAGTAGTAGTAGTAGTAGTAGTAGTGGCAGCTTATATTTCTAGAGTTCTTTAAGGCTTACACTGTGCTTTCCTTGTAAATATCTTGTGTGGTTGGCCAGCCCATAAGGACAATTTGGACACTGAAAAGAGCCTTTTTCAAAATGGCCAGACTGCTCATTACCACTTAGGGAAATAGACCTTTATTAAAGGACATTTTCACTCATACAAGAAAAATCAAAAGGGCTAACTTTAGACACCCAGGGGTGAGGGGCTATAAAAGATGGTACTAGAGAGGTTACCAGAACCTTGCTTCAGATAGCCTTTAAAGCAGATGAAAGGAGGGTCAACAAAGGTCCTGGGAGAGGCCGCCCTTGGGCGTGGCACAGTTGGGTTCTTATAAGTTCTTGTCACTACTCTTAATTGATGAATGAAATGTCTGGGTCCTTTGTCACCTCCACATCAGGGAAACTTGTCATCAAAGGCTGTGTGTTTTATAGGGGCTAGGGGAGGATTTCTTTTGAAGTGTATCTAGTTTTTTTTTTCCTCTATCTCTGATGCCACAAGCAGGGAGACATCTGAGAGTGCTGGATAATATCCCGATTATATAGACAGGGGACCTAGAAGTATCCAGTAGAGAGTAGAAAAGGTAGGAGAAAAAGGTGTTAGGCAAGAAGAAATGGCATGTCTACCTTAGAGTAGAGAGAGAGGATTTAGGAGGATTTAAATTTTTTTATTTGTTGTTGTTTTTATTGTCACAATTATACAAACAGTGCTATCCCTATTTTATAGATGAAGAAACTGAGGCTGGAGGTTGTGCCTGCTCATATGTTGAGCAAAAGTCATAATAAGGGTTTAGACTCAAATTTCTTCTTACTCCAAGTCCAGTGATCTTTGCTCTGGCCCTGTGGTTCAGATATTTATTTATGCCCTCGGCTAAAGTATGCCACTGAACTACTTTATCTATAGTCAGAAAAACAGAAATTTGTGAGATAACAAAACTCTGGTGGAGGCCACAAGTACTTTCTTCAAAAGTGTGAGACTTGGAGTCCTTTGGTGCTAATAGCTTTTGCTGCTGATCAACAAAATAAATAACTTCTTTTTACTGAGGAGATAATACTGGGCTGGGAGTTAGAAGACGCTGTGGGCAGAAAGTGATGAAGTGCCCAGATGATTATCATAATCTAATCTGAGTGATGGTCTTCTGTATATGCCTTTCCTTCCTTCTTCTATGTTACAAACTTATTGAGGACAGGAACTGTGTGTTAGTTTTGTTTTCTCATCTGTAAGGACTCACACAGTAGGTAATTAGTAAATGTTCTGAGAAATATACAGACTGCAGGGCTACACACAACACATTTTTCACAGGACTGCCCTGTGAATTTAAATTCTTAAATTCCATATACTAAGTAGCATTGAGTTTAGAAAGTATATTCTTTCCTTTAGAAGAACAATTGATGTTATGGTTAGGAAGATGAGAGTTGAAAAGGACTGCCCTCACTTAAAATCTTTGCTAAGCCAATTAATTGTATAAACAAGATTGCTTTATTTAAGAAGGCAGTTTCCAAGCCCCTTTAAATGCTTTAGCAGCATCCATAGTAATTGACACAATCACTATCACTAATCAACTTCATCATTATATCAGACATTTAAGAACCTCTACCAAGCAACCCTTTATTAGACCAGGTCTAGGAATGTGCGTGAAATTAACTGACGGGATTTCTTGAAGCAAATTCTGTAATTCAGACTGACCTTGTCTTCAAGTTTTTTTTTTTAATTAATTATGTTTGACCACAGGAGACTGGGATATTAAATAAATACATGCAGACTAATAAGGATTAGTAAAGCTTAACATGGTAGCAACCTGTGCATATGAATAAGATTGAAAAGACTAGTGTAGCTAGGAGTTTCTTGGTGTTAAGAATAATTAATATCCATACCTTCTCCCCAAGCCCACCATACCAGAAGGAAGAATTGTCACCAAGAGATTCAGACTATGGCCACAGAATACTTTTGACCCAACCAAGTCTTGATCTAGTAGCTTTCTTCAACCAGAAGCTGCATCTACTATTGAAAGCATCCGTTTTGGGAAGTTGACATAACATGGGTCCTGGTTGAGGGTGGAATAGTTTGTATGTCTTATGTTTTAACTTTATGGTGTCCACAAGGTAGCTCAAGTCACATGTCAAAAAAGTACATGAATGACACTGATTTCTCAACATACTTACAGGACTCCCATCCTGAAAGGTCTGACCCTGCCATCTAGCCTTCCTATTTGAGATTATTTTTAGGAAGAATTGTTGGGGGAAGAAAGGACCTCATAATAACTTACAAGGGTGGCTAGGTGGCGCTATAATGCACAGAGAGCTGGGCCTGGAGAGTTCAAATCTGGCTCTAGACACTTCCTAGCTGTGTGACCCTGGGCAAATCACTTAACCAGTTTCCTTATCTGTAAAATGACCCGGAGAAGGAAATGGCAAACTACTCTAGTATCTTTGCCAAGAAAACCACAAATGGAGTCATGAAGAGTTGGACACACATGACTAACAACAATCACTTAAGAACACACTTTCTTCTCCCAGAATATGTCACAGAACAATTTCTTTCCCAAATCCAGATTCCTCCTGGGTGGGGTTTTCCATATCCAGTATTCTGTCCTCTTCACAAAAAGGCAGATCCTCGGATGGCTTCTAAGACACACTCCCAGGAATCTAAAAATTGGACATGCTTTTTGGCAGATTCATGGTTTTATTAGTATGGATACTGCCTCTTAGGCACAACTTGCAAGCTTATCTCCTCCCACCTCTGATGCTTACTGCCTGTGCAAACTTTGGCAACTTAATGAACCCCCATGGGCCTCAGTTTCCTCACCTATAAAATGAGGGAGTTGGGTTACATGGTATTTAACCCCCCTGTGATCCTATGGTCTCCCCTCATCCATGCTTATAAAATTATTCGTTCACGTTTTCTTATGTTTTCCCATAGAGAATCCACCCTCAACAATGGAAGCCACCTTCTTTTAATATCTTTGGGGTACTAATGTGTATTTTGAGAGGGTGGGATGTCTCTCCTTCTCACTACATGACAATCCACCTTCATTTGCATCTTATAGGAAGAGGAACTAGACCTAGGATTCCACATGTAGAAACAATTGCCAGGTGAGATAACTCACTCTACCAAGGTTGACAGGCACCTTCTTTGAAACTTAGTCTTCCAGAGCCCCCAAGAGCACCAAAAGATCCCATGACATGCCCAGGGTCCCATGGCTAGTACACACCAGAGGTGAGACTTGAATCTAACTCTTCCTGGTTTTGAGGTGGGCTCTTTATCCACTATGACATCCTCCTTCTAAACCACAAATGTTCTCAATAATATCTATCATGGAGGAAAGAAATATCAGGGACTGAGGCTAAGTATAGTTTAGTGGAAAAGTCAAGTCAAGTCAACAAGCAGTTATGAAGCACTTACAGTAGAAAGTGCTAAGTGCAGAAGAAACAGAGGCCCTTCCTTCAAGAAGCTTATATTCTAATTAGAGGAGTTATATAAATAACTACACTGATGGAAGTCAAAATATCTTTTTTAAATTCAGTGAGAGGACCTGGGTTTAAATCCTATCCTTCTCCTTTACTGTGTGTATGACCTTGCCCAAGACTCTCTTGGCCTCAGTTTTCTTGTATGTAAAATGAAAGGTTGGGACAAGATGGGCTTCTAAGGTTCCTTCTAGCTATAGTTCTATAAGCCTATGAATAACATTAAAAGGAACTTTTGATTTTAAACATTTTCCCTTTTATTTCATTGATGTGTATTGGTGCTTTCACACCCTAGCTCTGAAAGTTTCCTTTAGGACCTACCAAATGTGATATTGGGTCAACTATCCCTTGGCTTGCTTTATGGAGTACCTTCCATGTCAGAGGATCACAAAATCCAGAGGAACCACTTAGAGTTGGGGGAATGACAGGTTTCCTAAAGGACATGGGACTGGACCCAGACCTAGAAGCCAGGGGAAAAAAAAGCATTGCAAAGGGTGAAAATGAAGAGA